GCGATCGACCGGCCTGATCGTAACGGGGGTATCGAAACTAATGTCCACGACCACGGCCACACCGTTCGGTATGGCTTTCCAACCATACTTCCTCACGAATTCCTTCGGGCAATGGACATCGTCGACTTCCCGCATGGTTTTCATTGCGCGGAAGAGGCTGGCGATGGGGGCGGAGCACGGGAGGATTTTTTTCCATTTTTCGAGGTTCTTGACGTCCCATTTTCCGGAGGTGGTGAGGTGTTGGAGTTGCCAGCTGGGCGAGAGGCGCGGGTCGATGTGGGTCGAGAGGAAGTCTTCGATGATGCGGGAGAGGATGCGGATGTCGGTTTGGTCGTAGAGGAGGCCGTGGGAGGAGGGGGAGGGGAAGATGGAGGTTTTGAGCGGGGTGGAGTGTTTTGTGGATTTGGTGAAGGATTTGATTGAGGTTGGTTGGGCTTCTGGGGATTGGTCTAGCATTTTCTTCCCGCTGATGTGGCCGGCTAGCATGGTGGCTTCGGAGCGAGGGGAGAGTGGTGATGCGCTGCGAGACGACTTCTGTGTTGCTTTGCCCGGCGCAATCTCGTCGTTCCGCGCAGAAGTGGTGTTTGTCAACCATTCGACAATCTGATTGACTTGGTCAGGTGGCGCGAGCTTGTCGTTATCGGCAGCGACCAGGAAGAGCGGCACTTCTATGCCGTCCCAAATGCGTCTGCCTAACAGACTGTCCTCGCCACGCTGCTTTGCTTCCCTCTCCTGCTTGACTATTGCGGCTGCAAATTTCTGAAAGACGCGCGACTTCGATTGTTGATTGAAGCGGAGCTGGAGCTTCTTAGTCTCCAGATCAGCCTCCTCTCCAATTACACGAGAGACGCTGGTGCTATCGATGCCGCCCCAGCGATCGTACATCCGGATCATGTCGAAGATCGGTGAGGGTAGGTGTGCGAGGCGTTCTGCTTGGTTCAAGTACTCCTCAGATGGCGGGTTTGCTCTGGGACAGATGCCCACCATGCCCAGAATGATGTCGGAGCAAAGGTCTGCGAGTGGCGATGTGGACGCTGTCAGGAGCGCGGAGATGGAGCAGCCCATGCTGTGGCCGATGAGGATGACTTTCTGGTCGTTCTCCTGGTCGCGGTAGCGATCAATGGCAGCGCACAGAAGCTCGGCAAGGGCGAGTGTGGTGTATGCTTCGACGTTCTCTGGTTCGAAGTCTGACAATCCGCAGCCAGGAAGATCGACGGCGAGGCAGGTGGCGACTTGTGTCAAGGAGGCAAGCAGTTTCTCGAATTGTGCAATCGATCCGCCGAGGCCGTGCATGAAGACGAGTAAGGGAACGTCTTTTGGAAGCTTCTTGGCTTGTGCGTGAACATGGTAAAAAGTGCGGATGCGTGGATAGACGATGCCTGCAGAATGGGAGTAAGAGTCGCTCAGCCTGACGTTGGATTGGGAGCGGCATACCTGATCTGGTTTCATAGCGTTCATAATTGGAGCCCTTCTTGAGAAGGCCAGGGTCGGTCTCGGCAGCTGCATCGTACTCGGTCAGCATTTGCCGCAGTGCAAGTCGGGTGCAGCATACCAGTGTGTATTCGAAAGCGCCCAGCCAGGTCATATGTCGAGTTCAAGTACCATGCCAAGCCAGCGGTAATGCCCAGGCCTGTGGCGAACAATGTCTTTTCCATGGGTGGATGGTCGGATCAGAAGCGTCGGGGGGGGGGGGGGGGGGGGCCGAGGATGCCGGTAGCCTTGCAATGCCGTCGACCGACAGGCTTGTTTTGCTCTCTCGTCGTCGTCGTCGTCGGTCGTCGGTCGTCGGTCGTCGGTCGTCGGTCGTCGATGTGGTGTGTTCCAGGCTGCTGCAACCAAAACAATCGAGGTATGCAACTCGTGCTCTGTCGCTTCTTATTCTGACATGCCAAGAGACTGCGACATCTTCTGTACTGTACCAGAATCCTGTATCCTCACTGCAAACTGATGTCTTGCGCTTGCGCTTGCGTGAAGCAGGGAACTTGGAAAGGTGGACAGCCTCAGGCTGCAGTCATGTGCTCATCGCTTACTCAGCAGCTCAAGCGCAGAGTCTTGGCATGCCAAGCCGCCCACTTCAGAAATCTCCGTCTCAATCGCACACACTTCAGCACCGCACACCACATCGCCCAGCGCTCTTTCCACCAACACCACCTCTTCCCTCCCACCACAAGAGCCGCATCAATACCGCCATCATGCCTGGTGTCTCCGTCCGCGATGTCCCAGCCGACAAGTTCATCGACGCCTACGCCGCCTTCTTGAAGCGCCAGGGCAAGCTCCCAATCCCAGGTACGGCCACACCTTGAAGGAAAAGAGGAGGAAATGCGCGCACACATGCCGCACCATGGATACACACATACACCGCCGACCAGATCTGAATCTCGCGACGAGCGAGGGACTTGATGTCAGAATTGTGCTGACATCGTCTACAGGTTGGTCCGACACTGTCAAGACCTCCCACGCCAAGGAGCTCCCACCACAGAGCCAGGACTGGTAAGACATCGCCCTCACAACCAAGTCCATTTCATCCTAACACTCCTCAGGTTCTACGTCCGCTCTGCTGCCATCGCCCGCCACATCTACATGCGCAAGACTGTCGGTGTTGGCCGTCTGCGCAAGGTCCACGGTGGCACCAAGAACCGTGGCTCGCGCCCATCTCACCACGTTGACGCCTCGGGCGCTGTCGACCGCAAGGTCATGCAGGCTCTTGAGAAGATTGGTGTGCTCGAGCAGGATGAGGAAAAGGGTGGCCGCCGCATTACCCAGTCCGGTCAGCGTGATTTGGACCGTATCGCCCAGACCACCGTCGAGGCTGAGGAGGAGGACGAGGATGACGAGTAGACGGTTCATTACGGAAGATTGTCTGCTTATACTCCCAAAGTCGATGGGTATGAACTTAGCGTGGCGTTTCACGGAGTCAAAAGAGCCAATGTCAGGCCTAGCAACTACTGAATGAACCCAGCTTCCATGCCCACATCTCAGTTCTCTGCCTCTTCTCTTCCCTCGCCAATCTTGTCACAGTTCTTAGAAAATGAAGGCTACGAATTCCGCATTCCCCGATAAAGAAGCAAATCGACATTAGCTGCTACGTATAGGTAGAGTATGTTGCTCTAGCTAAGGTAGTATATCGATACTAAGGGACTATTAACGAGTTCTAGAAGAGAAGCCGGAAATAGTGGAAGTACTAAGCGCCGGGAGGCGAGACTTCTACTCTACTAGCTATATAGATAAAAGTTCGCTAAGCGTTATTCAAGTCTAACGAACCGCTATTAGGGCTAAAGAGGCTATACGTAATTAGCATATAACTAGGCTAAGTGAAGCTAGGGTCTTAATGCCTTAGGTAGGGCTTAGCGCTTAGCGTTAGGCTAACTCTCCTACCTTCCTCCCTCTCCTCCTAGATCCTTATCGAATACTATACTAATTTACGACTACCCTATCTACCTACTAATATAACCCTTATTATATAGTATTCGATCTACCCTTTAAGGATAGTAGCTAGATAGTCCTTATTTTAAGCTTTTAGCGGTATAGCTACGAAAACTATCGATTTAACTATATTACGCCTAAAGAACGGGACCTATACGTACTATTCTATTAAAACAACCGTACTAATTATTAAGTAAGGCCTTCTATACGGCCTATTACACTAAATTAATCGCACTAAGCCGATATCTGCTAATTCCGCTACGTCCGTATCTTAGGAGCCTATAATATATTATTAGTGTTACCTCTTATAATAGCCGGCTTATTACGAAGCAATAACAACCGTACTGCCGCTAGCAGCGCTAGTAACGATAACGCTAGTAGCATAGTACCTACCGAAGTGCCTACTAAAGTACCTACTAAAGTGCCTCCTACTAAAGAGCCTACCGGAGAGCCTACTAAAGAATCTATAATTCTAGGTAACGACCTAGAATTGCCTATCGACGACATTCTTAACAACATTATTAACTATCGATATAGCTAACTAGCCTTTAGTCCCTAGCTAGTAGCGAGACTTTAAGAAGCTACTTAGAATAGGCTTACTACCTTACGTTAGGAATAATAGCTAAAGGATAATCTCCTCGAGATTCGCCGCCTATAGGAAGCCCTAATAACTAATACTAAGCCGATAGTAGGGCCTTCCTTACTACCCGTCCCTATCTAAAAGAAGGATACTAAGCTTAAGGACTATACCGTATTTAACGGCTCTAGTCGCAAGTAATACAATAATTATATACGCGATTGTAAGCTTAACTAACGAAATATACCGAGGGCTCTTCTAGACGACTATTTACTAGTTGTCTACGCTATATAGTATATTAATAGCGACCTAAAGCGTATATAGGATAACTATTTCGACTCCCTTAACGATTAGACCGCTATTTAGTAGAAAACCTATAAGACTATTATGCTAGACTAGACCCCGTAGTGGTTCGGTTTCCGAACTACTAAACGTATATAGTTTAGTTTCTTAGCGGCGAACTAGCTCCCTAGTTCCGGTTTGGTTTTTTCGAACTATATAGATTCCTAGTTTGAACTAGAGACTGTATTAGTTTTACTATAAGGACACTCTTATTCGACTGCCGGCTACGATTGCCGGCTATAATAGTAACTCTATTACATTTACTACGCTCTTTTGCCGTTGCTAGGGCGTAGTTGCCGTTGCTAGGGCGTAGTTGCCGTTGCTAGGGCGTAGTTTTGCTATAAGGACACTCTTATTCGACTACCGGCTACGATTGCCGGCTATAATAGTTACTAGGTTGTATTTACTACGCTTTATTACCGTTGCTAGGGCGTAGTTACCGTTGCTAGGGCGTAGTTGCCGTTGCTAGGGCGTAGTTACTATTGCTAGGGCGTAGTTGCCGTAGTTGCGAAAGCTTACCTATATAACGTTACGTAGGCGGCAACAATTAGGGCTTCGCGACATTTTTATACTTTTAACTTCTTCCTCTATACCTATACCGACAACAACTACTATACGCTACGCCCCCGCCCCTTTCCCTTACAATAGTAAGAGAGAAGCGCGCCGCGCGCTAAATAGAAGATAGAACTAAAAACCGCGAGTTTGTTTTGCCTAAGCGTCTAACTAAAAAGCGTAAGACTAAAGAGAAGTACTCTACGAAGAAGAATTCCGTACGAGACCGCGAGAGAAAGGATAAGATAGATAAGGATAAAAGAGCTAAGGATAAGAGAAGAAAGGCGCGGAATAAGGCATTCTATCGATAGCTAGCGCCTATAGAAAAAAGTGAAAGTTGGAATAAGAAGACAACCTAAGAGAAGGCTAAGAGGAGGAAAGAATTGCGGCTAGTTTTCGAGCGTAAAGTTCTAGCAGCGTAAGTTAATCTAGCTAGCGGCCGTAGCTAGCAGCTATAGCCGGCAGCCGTAGCCGGCAGCTATAGCCGGCATATTTTTCTTTAATATGTTAACTAATAGCATTTAGACCTATAGCCGCTACCTCTATCGATACGACCGATAGTAACGGAGATGTTTAGATAGCCGAGAACAATAATACTAGAGTTTAGGATACCGCGATAGAGCTTAATACTACGAATAAAGGAACTAAAAAAAGCGAGGAGATACTATACGTCGATCTAGTAATAGGTACAGTCTTAGGGCCTAACGCTATAGACAATAAGCGCTAGGAGTAGATCGAGTATAGTTAAAGAGACGAGATACTAGTAAAGGGCTAAGGCATAAGTCCTATTAATCTAGAAAATTATAGTTAAAGCTACTACGAAAAGCTAGTAAGGATTAGAATCGAGACTAGTCGTCTTTATATCCTCGATATAGAGTAGAAGTTTCTTTATTAGTATTAGAGCGAAGCCTTTGCGTCTATAAAGGCAAAGTAGCTTGCGATTAATGCGATTAGGGCTAGGTATCTAGGGACGGCAGAAGTGTTACTATAGGAGGAAGGGGTACAGGTAATTATTCTATACTCGGCATATATAGCCGGCGTTCGTAGCCGGTAGATACTAACAGTTAAATAGAAAGCGTTTCTCGAAGGCAGAGTGCTACTACTATATAAAATCTTTACTAAGGTAGAGAGGGCTTATATCCGGAATCTAAGCTACTAGTAGGATAGGTTAGCGTTAGAATTCTCTGAATCTCTATATAAGCCTCCGAAGGATTACCTATTTTAGCGATACGGCTTTATCTCGACTACTCCGTAGATACCCGAAGAAGCTCGAGCGCTCTTTAAGATCTTTACTAAGAAGCGGAAGGAGTTCGAGGATTAGGATTAGTTAATAGAGCTGTTAGTTAGTCTTAGGTTTCGTAGTTAGACTCGGCCTAAGCATTTGCTTATCGAGTATCTTATACCGAAAGAGGATAAATTGAGACTAAAAACGAGCTTAGATTCGTTAGGTATAGTAGCTCGGTTCCGTTAGTAGGAGAGAGCCGCCGTATAGAAGGCAAAATTCAGGTAGTTAGGGTAGCTAGGAAAGAAATTCTAGTAGTTAGGCTAGCTAGGGTAGCTAGGAAAAAAAATCTAGTAGTTAGGTAGCTAGGAAACAAAAAAAAAAGGTAGCTAGCTATTTACTACCTAGCTATTCCTAACGATACGATACTATAAAAGAAAGGGTGTTTCTCTATAGCTACTAGTATATATCTACTACTCCTAAGTCCTTACCTTACCGTACGAAACCTTAAAATATGCCGACCGACATTGTATATATACTAGGCGCTACACTAGGAAGGGTAACAACGAGACGATAGTCGAAACAGTCTAGTATACGAGCGAGATTGCGATAACGTCGAGAGGAGGTCGTATACTTACCTTCGAGCCTATCGAGTCCTAGACTACGATTAGGGCTAGATTTATCCTCTCCGAATCCTAGTAGTAGGAATTCATTATAGGGTACTACTACCTAGTCCTTACCTTTACGGAGTCTAAGTAGAAGGTTGTTCGGAGATATAAGAACATCGAGTATTAACCCGGAAATCTTCGAAAAGGCTAGCTAGGCGTATCTTTAGAAACCCGAGTATATAGAGCAGTTTAATTAATAGGTCTATAAGATATAGTTCCCTTTATACTTACGTTCGAAGGAGTGTAAACTCCGGAAGTACTCGATACGATAGGGGAGTAAGGAGCGAACGGATACATTCTAGAAGTTCTTTATAGAGGGGGCATTGTACCGTTATACGACTTCTCGACTTAAAGGTTAACTAGTAATTGTCTGTAACTTCTACGGTTCAATCTTGAAATACCCGAAACTAGGGGATAGGAACTTATCGCCTACGAACTATCTCTATTCTAAACGATATCGGGAATCTTAAGGAGAGAGGAGAGTTAATATAGATATAGCGTTCTAGAAAGAGGTATATCTTCTAAAATGCCGGCTATAGCTGCCGGCTATAGCTGCCGGCTATAGATTCCGGCTACCTAAATTAACCGTAGAGATCTAGCTAATTATTATAGGCTACGCTTAAGGAAGCTCTAGGATTGAAGGCTACCGATTTTTCCCCCGAAGACTTCAAGCAACTAGTAAACGAAATACTAGCTATAAACGGTCTTCCGGAAGACTTCTACGAAAGGGAGTCTATATAGAAGATATACCTATATCTTATAAACTACCCTCCCCTATTTCTCGGCGCGACAACCTAGCGTATTATATTCGAAAAGAATAAAGAGGCTGCGTTAGACGATATTCGGGAGATCCTCCGTAATACTCGCCGAGTAGCTATTACTATCGATAGCTAGTTAAGCCGGACTATAAGAGCCTCCTTCCTCTCGATTATGCTATACTTTATTAATTCGGATTAGAAACTCTAGGAACTTATAATCGGATTCCCTAAAATTCTAGGTTCCTATACTAGTAAGGATATAGCGAAGCTTATCTATACGGCAATAGATAGGGTTAGCGTAATAACGAAACTGATCTCGATTACTACGGACAACGCTAGTAATAATCGAACATTGTATAAGGCGTTGTATATACAATTCACTCGTATATGTCTTTAAAATTACTAATTGTATCGATAGGGTCGAGTAC